AAGCCTGTGGATGCCATGTGTAACTTGCATATTCTGTACCACACAAATGCACAGGCCAGGCCTCTGAGGCACACATCTCAGCCATTCCTGGGGCTAGGAGAGTTGGGAGACACCTGGGGAGTGGAGTGGGAGGTTTTCCACACCTCTTTGATTAACTTTTGGCTCAGAATTCCCCTGACTTTATGAACTGTTTTTACTTTCATTGGAATGCGTGTTTTTTCCAAGGATGGTTCGATTTTTTGAATGCTCTCCTAGCTACCGGGCAGCCTATGCTTTGTGATGCAACTTGGAGAGGCTCTGAAGCTGTGCTGGCAGTGGGGGGCCCCGGGAGCTTAGAAACCCTGCACTCTTTTTCACAGACTCTTCTGAGCAGAACATGCACCAACAACAGTTGAGTTGCATGTTACATGTCACGGCTTTGAAAGGAGGCAAAAAGATTTTCCCCTGCCCAGGTTTTCCGTATCGATATTTACATAGGCATGTAATAAAAAAGTCACTCTGCGTGTGAGCCAATATTTAAATATTTATTTCCAAAATAGTAAAACTGGGGTTAGCTCATGTGCTTGACAAATTCTGTTTTTATAGTGAGTTTCCAGTTATATAAATATAAAACCATCCTTTAATCCAGTCCACTGTTTTGTAATTTTCAAAGCTGCCAAACTTATATGGATTTCAGAGCTAAAGCCACCTCTGGCTAAGCTCACACGTGCCAAGTGGTGAATTTGTCTAAACTTTATGAATGAGAAGATCACAGATGAAAGGCGTTATAGAAGTGCAAAGTGCTCTTTGCTCGGTGTATCCACCTTTGAAAATAGGGTTCTTTGAGATGTGATGTGACAGCCATAACCGTAGCACCAGCTAACTCAGTACCCTGGCTTGTGCATAGCGAATGCACCAACACTTTGAGGTTCCAAAAATAATAAGATTGAAAATGTGCCCCCCACACTGGGAGCATGCCCACCTGCTTCCACCCCCAGCAATCTGGCACATGGACTTTTGGGGGGATTGTTAACAAAATGCTACCTAGGATTTGCGTCACAGCTCCAAGGGGACTTGCCCTGATTGTGTAGCCTCCAAACCTCCAGAAGTGCGTTCACACACACAGCTGTTCTGCAGATTCAGGGGAGTATGTGCTCCTCCCCATAGGCTCCAACTTCTCCTGGCACCGGTGGGTGCTCGCGCCACCCCGCCCCGACTCCACCATTCCAACCCGTTTCCCAAAGTCTCCGCCCCCTCCCTGCCCCTATTGGACTCCTTCCCCAAATCCCCGCCTCGGCCCAGCCTCCTCCCCCCTCCCTCCCACAGCTTGTTACGCTGTGAAACTGCTGTTTCACGGCAGCAAGCACTGGGAGGAGAAGCAGGGATGGCGCACTCAGGGGAGGAGGCGGAGGTGAGCTGGGGTGGGGTGGGGAGCTTGGCTGCCGGTGGGTGCAGAGCACCCACCAATTTTTCCTCATGGCTGCTCCAGCCACGGAGCACCCACGGAGTCGGAGCCTATGCTCCTCCTCCCCCCCCCCCCAAAACCTTTTACTGGTTCCCAGATTGTCGATTCAAAACCACCTGCTAAATTAGCTGCTGATAGCAAGGGGGCGCCCTTCTATAATAGTGGCCTAAGTTATCTCTTTGATTTGCTTCTTCTGAGGATGTTAAAACCTCCGGAAAGTTGTCTTGGCAATAAGAAAACAAGTCCTGCCCTTAATAAGTCAGGCTGCCTTATGCATTCCTGTATGTAGGAGTAAGAGAAATGATCTGGTTTGCGTAGACTAGTGAAACACCATCTTGATCTGGTGCAGACAGCCTGGCAGTGGCTGTGTGTTTACATTGTAATTGTGGATGCAGGGCTGCCCAGGGAGCGTTCCCCACTGGCTTACATGGCTAGCTCCGGGACCCAGGAACGAGGGATTCTGCAGATTGTTCTGAAGTCATTGCTGTCTCTCATATGGAAAGGAAATTTCTCTTCCTGGTTTTTATTGCGCTGGAGGGGGAATGCACAGCAGATTACAAACTAGATTCCCTCTTAGCAGACGCTGAATACCCTGCTGTGCTGATGCTCCGCGTGGCCAGTCTGTGGTTTGTAGGAGGGTGTAGAAACGTGCTGCCTGCGCTCTGCAGACACAGATTGCCTCTGGAGGCGGCGCAGTCAGCAGGAATCACACGCCTGTCTGTTTGTACAGGTGTCCCGTGCTAGCAGCGCTCCCGCCGACTCCTGCAAAGGGACACTGAGCTCCTGCCCTGAGAGCCGAGGAGGGCTTGTTAGCACAGCCCCTTCCCTCTCATGCTTGTGGGCCCATGAGCCCTCTTCCTCAAACGGAGTGATGCTGCAGGAAGAGGAGGGGAGCGATTGAAATGTGCGACAGCTGAACTAGAACCTGCATCCTCTCTCCCTAGCAGCAGCCCCATCAGGTCTGTCTTGTCAGCCTGACCCTCTGTACCCTGTATCGGGAATGAGCAAGCTGTGCTAGCAACCCCACACTGCCCTGATGGGCTAAGCATGCTGGCACAGGTGAGCTCAAGCTCACCTTTGGAGAGGATGCTCCTCAATACTTCACTGGTGACTAGTCCCTGTCATCCAGGGGTCAACAGGGCTTTACAAACATGAATCCATATTAAACCTCAGCACCCCCTCCTGGCAGGCAAGCGTTATCTCCCACTGTCTGGAGAGCCAGGGGCTGAGACACGGAGAGCTCCAGTGGGTTACCAAAGTCACATCGCACGGTGAGTCACTGACAGCTCCAGGGATCAGCCCCCCACGCTCCTGGATCCTAGCCCCACTCATCATTAGACCCTGTTCCCTCCGTTACTAGGAGTAGGGTTCTGCAGCATGGGCCCCTCTCCGTTTGTATACAGACAATAGACAGTCACACCAGCCAGTGGCAGAGAGGGCCCCAGTCCCCCAGCGCTGACCCCTGACTGCAGGGACTGCCACAAGGCTGTTCCAGGAATAGGCTCTGCCACAGATCTCCGACCAGCCCCTGGCTGCATGCAGAGCGGCAGGGGTGTTCGTGCCACCACTCAGCCTTGGGGCCATCTCTGCTAAATTGTCACATCTGGTGCCAGTTTGGGGACCACTGAAGGGGCCAGTGTAACCCCGAAGAGTATGTCCTCCCCGGTAGCTGGTTCTGGCGAACCTCATGAAACAGCTCCATGGGCCCAGCAAGAGGCCCCGTTGCTGGGAGAGCTGGGGCACGTGCTCTCTTAGATAAAGCCAGCTGCTTGTTACTGCATCCTCTCAGGCAGCCAGTGTCAAACTTCTCCACAGCCCACCCCCAGGCCCTTGGAGGGCCCCCCCCCCCAGCTCTGGGAGGGACAGGATCAGCTGATGGGGTGTCCTGAAGGAGGACTCCAATTTAAAAAACCCAAATGCCATCCTCCCCACAAGACAGAACGGCTCTGAGTGAGGGCGTTCCCTCCAGGGCCTGTTCCGTGCTGTCCAGGCTTGTGTGGGCACAGGAGCGGCAGGTTTGTATAATTTTTGGTGGTGCCCAGAACGGGCCCAAGTTCCGCCCCCCAACACACACCTGCCTTGTAAGCCGATACATATTTTTTAAAATAATGTAAAAATGTGAGGGCTCTGGGGTGGGACTGGGGATGAGGGGTTTGTGGTGTGGGAGGGGCTCGGGGAGAGGATTGGGGTGCGGGGTGGGGCCGGGGATGAGGGGTTCACGGTGCAGGAGGGGGCTCAGGGCTGGGGCAGAGGGTTGGAATGCGGGGAGGTGGGGGCTCTGGCTGGGGGTGCGGACTCTGGGGTGGGGCCGGAGATGAGTTTGGGATGTGGGAGGGGCTCAGGGCTGGGGTGTGGGGGTGCGGGCTCCGGGGTGAGGCGGGGCCGGGGATGAGGCGTTTGGGGTGCAGGCAGGCCAGAGAGGACTCCCCCCGCCAGCCCTCTCCCCACCGGCAGCAGCGAGCTCCAGGGGAGAGACCCCCCTTTCCCCTCGGCAGCACACTCACCTCACACCACTGTCACTGCACGTGCTCCTAGGGCCCCTCTCAGGTCCAGGAAGTCCCCTCACTTACCCTGTGGTGGGCGTGGGGGGGAGCTGCCATCACGTGGGCACCTCCTCCCCTGCTGCTGCCCCTCACTGAGGATGGGGGATGGGGCTGCCCCTTGCCTAGAGTGGGGCAGGAGCAGTGACTGTGCAGGCGAGGGGGCCCCCTGTGCTGGTGGAGGGTCCTGCCAGAAAAGGGAAGGTCCATCCGTCAAAGGCGGAAGGGCAGGGTCAAGGTCAGCCTGCCCTGACACCAGTGGTTGGGGGTGCTAGGACCCTGCGACGGCAGTTGATGCCAGGAGCCGGCAGAGCGCAGCGCGGAGCTGCAGGTAGGGGTCTGCTGCCCGCTGCCCAAGCAGGGAGGGACGTTCGGGGGACGCACACGGGGGCAGCAGGTGGGGCCGTGGGAGAGACCCGGCCCCGAACCTTGGTGGAACCAAGCCCCTGGGCCCTCAATATTGCTGGAGCACGGGCACCACAGGCCCATATAACTTTCCGCCCCGGGCATCGGTTCGTCCCTGGCTGACTGTCATGGGCCGAGCTGCTGAGTTTCTGCTTCCTCCAGGCAGTCCAGGAGGCAGAGGTGGGGCCCAAGATGTGCCTTTTGGCCCTGGCTGACGCTGGAAATGAAGAAATCAGTCCAGAGGGGGAGAGGCATTCCCCCAGCAGGCCAGCGGTCAGCAGAGTCCCCCTGCAGCCTTCCTCAGTTCCTTGCCACATGTGACGGCTCAGTGGAGCAGGAGACTCCTAATGGGACGTGTCTCCCATTTCACTGGGGAGCTGGGAACCAATTCCCTAACCATGGGACTCCAGGAGCCCACCAGTCCCGTGTCAGCTGGTCCCCAGGAGCCTGCAGTGAGCGTTAACTAGGGCTTACTGACGTCTACCATTAACCCACATCTCATGTTCCCCAATGGCAGCCCGAGTCCTCGGAAACTCCGGCAGCCTCTGCCAGAACGAGCCGACAGGCCTGGCGTCATTACTTAGTGGGAATGTTTTTGTTTTTCATGGCAGGTTGAAGCCTCAGAAGAGACCAGGCAATGGCGCTTCCCAGCCATGCGAGAATATCGTGGTCGCATACTACTTCTGTGGAGAGCCCATCCCTTATCGCACCTTGGTCAAGGGGCGCGTGGTCACGCTGGGACAGTTTAAGGAGCTGCTCACCAAGAAAGGGAACTACAGGTAAGGCGGAGGAGAGACCTATGGTAAAGTCCATTCAGCTCAGCCTGCTCCTCGGTCTCTGTTTTCCACAGATGGCCATGTTCACCTTTTGGCTCTTCCTCCCCTTTGCCCCTAAGGCGGGTGTCGGGGCCTCCCTCTGAGCCGGCACTAGCTCCTTACTGTGTACATTCCCCAGTACCATGGATGTCATGGTATCTTGTCTCGCAGTGATTCTCCAGAGACGGAGCTCTGCAAGGTAGACGAGGCAAGGGACTGCCCTGGGGGGGAGGTGTTCCTGAGTCAGCTGGGGACGCTGTCTCAGTGCAATGCCAGGATGCTAAACCCAAAGCAGCAGGTGTCAATGGGAGTGGGAATCATGGGGGTGCGCAGGAGACTAAGGGGACAAGACCCCTCCTATCCCAGAGCAACACCACCACCACCCCGGCCTTCACCACATGGTGGGGTTCTCTGGTATGTGCTCCCAGTATTTCGAGAAGGGCCCTTCTTCAAGTGACTGCTCATGTCCATTCCACAATAGATGTGCGTGCTCGCCATGTGCACCGGTGCCGGAAGTTTTTCCCCTAGCAGTACCCGTAGGGGAGTGCCCCTAGCACCCCCTGGAGTGGCGCCTCCATGGCGCGGTATAAGGGGAGCTGCACATTCCCCCCACCCTCAGTTCCTTCTTGCCACCAGTGAAGATGCTTCAGAACTGCTCTGCTCCAGCTTTGCTGTGGCTCATCCCAAGAACTGCTTGTTCGTTCAGTGTGTGGTACCTGTAGTTAGCTAGTTGATTAGTTAGTTTAGTTTAGCTAGAGCGCCCGGGCCGGGGCATGCCCCGTGCCCCGGGTTTTAAGTCGTGTGACACTTGTAGGCGACCTATGCCAGTGAGTGATCTGCATGCGGACTGTTTACGCTGTTTGGAAACCATCTCAGCGATCGCTGCAAGATTTGCAAGTCGTTTAAGCCTCGGACCAAGAGAGAAAGGGACATTAGGCTCTGGGTTATTTTGATGGAGTCAGTGCTGACCCCGGCTCCGGCGCGCCGCTCCGAGTTGGCACCGGGCTCCGCGGTGTCGGTGCGCGGCGATCCTTCGGCACCATCAACTAGTCGGCACTGCAGAGGAGATGGAGGAGCCCTCGGACTCCCTGTTTAATGGACTGTCCTCCTCGGCACCGGGCAGGGTGGCCTTGCCTCTTCACGAAGGGGTGACGAAAATTTCAAATGCCCTGTGGCAAACTCCGGCCTCACTGATCCCCATCTCTAAGAGAGCGGAACGCAAGTATTTTGTGCCCGCCAAGGGGCATGAATACTATACACCCACCCTGCTCCTAACTCCTTGATGGTCGAGTCAGTCAACCACAGGGAATGGCAGGGCCAACCAGCCCCTACCCCAAAAAATAAAGATTCGAGGAGGCTGGACTCATTTGGAAGAAAAAAATTATTCGTCCTCGAGCTTCCAGTTACGGGTGGCGAACCACCAGGCTCTCCTGGGCCAGTATGAGTTCAATCAGTGGGGCTCCCTGCCCAAGTTCGAGGACTCCCTCCAGGAGCGCGACAGAAAGGAGTTCAAAGCGCTGGTGGAGGAGGATACAGCGGCTGCCAGGGCAACCCTGCAGGCAGCTTCGGATGCAGCAGACATGGCCACATGGTCCATGGCCTCCGTGATGTCCATGAGAAGGGCGTCATGACTCCTGCTCTCTGGGTTGTCCAGCAAGGCGCAGACCTCCCTGCAGGACCTCCCGTTTGACAGCAAAGCTCTGTTTGCGGAACAAACAGATACAAAGCTGCATGGCCTGAAAGACTCCCGCATGACTCTGGGTCTCCAGCTAAACCAAAGTTCAAGCCGCAGCAGACTCCCACCCAGGCCACCCATTCAAAATACAAGACCGCTTATAAAAAGTCGCGGGACTATAAGAGGCGCCCACAGAGGCAGTTTCGGCCTGCCCCCCAGCATGGGTCCTCCCAGGGCAAGCAGGCGGGGAAAAGGCGGTTTTGACGGGATGCCCTGGGGCGCCCTGCCAGTTCTCATCAGAAATGTATGTTGGTGGTAGCGACCTACGTCAGGCACCAGGTGGTCCAGATCTTCCCCCTATCTGGATGACTGGTTGGTCAAGGGCAGCTCCCAGTCGCAGGTGCGGGATCATGTGGCGCTCCTTCTGTCCACGTGCACCACTTTGGGCCTGTTGGTAAACAACACCAAGTCCACGTTAGTCCCGGTATAACGTATAGGGTTTATCAGGGCAGTCCTGGACAGGTTTGAGACGCTGAAGGGGCTCATTGACACAGTCGCAAGGTTTCCGGTGACAATAGCCAGAGCGTGCCTCCAGCTCTTGGGTCACATGTCGGCGTGCACGTATGTGGTCCATCATGCCAGACTCAGAATGACGCCCCTCCAGCTCAGGTTGGCCTCGGAGTTCTCCCAGGCCAGGAACAGGATGGACAAAGTCCTCATGGTGCCCAAGCCAGCAATCACCTCCCTACGGTGGTGGTCCTCCCCGAGAAACATGCTCCAAGGGGTCCCGTTCAGGGGCAGGGCCCCGTCGCTGGAACTGGTGTCCAATGCATCGGACCTGGGATGGGGGGCACATGTGGGGAACGTTCAGACCCAAGGTCTGTGGTCTGCTAAGGATCTGACCCTCTACATAAGCATCAAGGAGCTCAGGGCGGTACGGCTGGCATGCATGGCCTTCCGCTCACACCTGGAGGGCCGGGTGGTCAGGGTTCTCACGGACAACACGACCTCGATGTTTTACATCAACAGGCAAGGCGGGGCCCGATTCTCTGCCCTCTGCCACGAAGCCCTCAGGCTGTGGGTCTTTTGTATAGCCCATGACATCTGCCTACAGGCCTTCCATCTACCGGGCACCTGGAACTCGCGGGCAGATCGCTTGAGCAGGGACTTCTCCTCTCAGCACGAGTGGTCTATCGACCCAGAGGTGGTGCACAGACTTTTCCAAGTGTGGGGAACTCCCCAGGTGGACCTGTTCACGACTCGGCATAACCGTCGCTGTCCCCGGTTCTGCTCTGGGGGTGGTGCTTATCTCCGATGCCTTCCTCCTGTCCTGGTCGGGCCAGTTCCTCTGTGCCTTTCCCCTGTTGCCGCTGACGGCAAGGTCCTGAAAAAGATAAAGACGGACAAGGCCCGGGTCCTTCTGATTGCCCCGGCATGGCCCAGACAGCATTGGTACGGCACCCTCATGGGCCTGGCGGTCGCCCCACGGTGGCAGTTGCTGTCCCGTCCGGACCAGCTCTTCCAGGACCAGGGCTGCCTCCTCCACCCCAGCCTAGCAGCACTCCACCTCACAGCGTGGCTGCTCAATGGTTAGGCTGGGAGGAAATGACATGCTCAGAAGGGGTTCAGCGCATCCTCTTAGAAAGCAGGCGCCCCTCCACGCATCGAGCCTACTTGGCAAAATGGTCTCGGTTTTCCAGATGGGCGGACGAACGGGACGTTTCCCCGGTGGTCACCCCGATCCAGCTGATTCTGGACTATCTCCTTCACCTTAGAGCCCAGGTCTGGCGCCCTCGTCAGTCAAGGTGCACCTGGCAGCCATACCGGCCTTCCACCCGCCAGTGCAGGGCCACACGGTATTCTCCCATGCTATGACTGGCCGATTCCTTAAGGGGTTGGATTGTCTCTTCCTGTATGTTAGGCCCCCAGTCCCACAGTGGGACCTAAACCTGGTGTTGGCCCGTCTCATGGGGCCCCCGTTTGAGCTGCTAGCTACATGCTCCTGGTCACACCTCTCGTGGAAGGTGGCTTTCCTGGTTGCGATCACGTCGGCTAGGCGGGTCTTGGAACTCAAGGCCCTGACCTTCGAGCCCCCGTACATGGTGTTTCATAAAGATAAGGTCCAGCTCTGCCCACACCCTTCGTTCCTCCCGAAGGTGGTCTCCGCCTATCACGTAGGTCAGGACATTTTTCTGCCGGTCCTCTGCCCCAAGCCGCATGCGTCCAGTGAGGAGCACCACCGCCACATGCTGCATGTGAGACGGGCTCTGGCTTTTTACCTGGAGCGGACTAAGCCGTTCAGGAAGTCTTTGCAGCTGTTCATCGCCTCGGCCAAGCACATGAAAGGTCGGCCGATCTCCACTCAGCGACGCTCCAACCGGATCACCTCGTGCATCCGTACCTGTTACGACTTGGCAGATATCCCCCGCTGTCGATTGTGAGGGCACGCTCGACTAGGGTGCAGGCCTCATCGGCTGCCTTTTTGGCCCATGTCCCCATTCAGGACATTTGTAGGGCTGAAACATGGTCTTCAGTTCACACGTTCACCTCGCATTATGCGATCGTCTCCCAGACCAGGGAGGACGCCGGGTTCGGCCCGGCCATCCTCTGTCCCGAGAGTTTGTGAACTCCTTCCCACCTCCAGCAGATATGCTTGGAATCACCTATTGTGGAATACACGAGCAATCACTCAAAGAAGAAAAGACAGTTGCCGTTTCTGTAACTGTTGTTCTTTGAGATGTGTTGCTCATGTCCATTTCACATCGTGCCCTCCTTCCCCTCTGTCAGAGTTGTCTGGCAAGAAGGAACTGAGGGTGGGGGAAGCGCGCAGTGCCCCTTATACCACGCCATGGAGGTGCCATTCCCGGGGTCACTAGGGCACTCCCCTACGGGTACTGCTAGGGGGAAAACTTCTGGCACTGGTGCACGTGGCGAGCATGCACACCTATTGTGGAATAGACATGAGCAACACATCTCGAAGAACACCAGTTACCAAAAAGGTAACTGTCTTTTCTCTGAGCCTATGCTGAACCCCATGTTCCAACAAGGCAGGGCCTGCAGGGGGCAGGGAGGAGCTGGGAAATCTTTCCCAATTTTAAAAAGAACAGCTTTCTCAACCCTTAAGCAAGGAGGGAGGCGGCACCACCGGGCAGAGAGCCTGGGGTTCAGAGAAATGAGCAGGCTCAGTCCCTGAGAAGCATACAGCTAGTCCAGCGCAGGGCCGTTGGAGAGGAGAGTGAGTGCCTCGGCAGTGTAGGCTAAGCCAGGGCAGGGGCAGAAGGCTCGTTGAGTCCTAGGAATACGACATCTCTGGCAGAGATGTGCTAGCGGGATCCAGAGAGATCTGATGCCATCCGTGTTACCTGTGAGCAGGCAATGGTGTGAGTGCTTTGCCCATTTGTCTCTCCCGACAGAGACAGATTAATGAGCCAATGCAGGTGATGTGGTCAGAGGTGCTCTCCCTGGGGCTCCATTCTGTGGCACTTCCTCCTGCAGTGCTGCAGCTGTCATTAGCCGTGAAGACGAGCGAGAACACCCAGTGGCTAAGGAGGTTTCTTGTGTGTATATTCTTTAAGAGGCAGGTAGAATGGCCTGCCAGGAGCTAATTTAAAGAAGGGTGGATCAGGCAGGAATTCGGCCTTGGCCCTGAACGTGTGTACACTGTGTGTTATTGAAGTGGCAAGTTATGGGTATTTTAGGGATTTGGTTCCAAGCTACGCTTGTGCCGTGCTGCAATCCAGACGGGACAGTTCAGCAGCTGAACTCTTTGCAGCCAAACGATCAGGGCAGACAAGGCAGTTTGGCCTGAGCGTGTTTTTTCAAGAGCAGGATCTGGCTTTGAAGAGTGTTACAACAGCAATTGCTGCAAGTAAAAACCTGGTTGTGTACCAAGCCAGCAGCCCCCAAACTGCTCAATGGAGGGCTGCCTGGGCTGCTCGCCATTTGCATAGAGGCCAGTTGCATTCTAGGACTTGTAGCCTCTCCGAGCCATAGCTCTAGCCTCAAATGGAGAGCAACTTTGGTCCATACTGTGGGACTGTTTGGGGGGTGGGCTGCAGGACCCAGCTGGTCAGCCTCTGGTGCGAGGAGTGCTGCGAGTATAGTTGGGGTAAGGGCCACTCCCGCTGTATTTGTACTCGGATTGGCAACGCCTGCCTTGGTGAGCCGGCCATCACCTGTAAAGCTTATCAGCAGGAACACTTGAGTCCAATCCCCTGCTATCACAGGCACCTGCTATGCTGCTTCTGAAGGGGAGGGTTTGGTGGGAGGGCAGGAGAGGGGTTTTAGTTCTGGCCCTGGAGCCAATTTGGGCGTTATGGATGATATACACAGGAATAAATATCCACCCCCCAGGCATTATCACATAGGAATCAGGGGTACGGCATGCTTGGGTTTGAGTCAGTGTGGGGCTTCCAAAGTCTATTAGGGCCCATGGCTGGGGCTGGTGCAGCCCCCGGTGGGTGGGACCCTGCAGGGTTCTGGGCTGTTGCCAGCTGGGCGATTCGTTCACGTGCCCCCCTCTGCTTTGCAGGTATTACTTTAAAAAAGTGAGCCATGAGTTTGACTGCGGAGTGGTGTTTGAGGAGGTGCGTGAGGATGAGGCCACCCTGCCCATCTTTGAGGAGAAGATCATTGGAAAGGTCGAGAAGATTGACTAACAGGAGAGCCAAGAGGCCTGGGAAAGATTTTGGAAATCTCAGCAGTCTAGAGCAGATCCAGAGTCGGTGCTCTGGGAGGCACAGATCCCTCGGTACTGGGCTGACCCAGGCTGAGGGAGGCACCTCGATCCCTCCCGAGGACTTCCAGGAGCTACGCGTTGCCAGTGGGAGGAGTTCCACCACACAGACTTGCCGGTGGGATCCCCGCCGGGCTCCCTCTCCAGACAGAATATTACGTGTATTGTAGCATTGTACAGTTGCATTAGAAAGTGTAATATGACCTTGTTTACTAAAGCTGCATATTTTTGATATATTGTAATAAAAGGAAAATCTTTCCAATGTCACAGTGCTCTTATGTAAATGTAAGACATACAGGTACTTCGGAGCTCACCCAGCGTGTACAGCCATCTGTCCAGCTCGGCATGGAGCCTTGCCTTCATCTGACCCTCCCCGTGTCCTGACAGTGGATGGCTTTTAGTTGATGCTACTGTGTGTGTGTTGAGGTGGAGAACTCCCTCGGGGAAGTCCACACAAGCTGCTATCTCAGATGCTGATATGGAAGCCCACACTTTGGCTGGCTCACGCTGACAGTACAAAGGCCACAGTAGTGCAGGGTTGAAAATCTGGGTTTATGACATTTTAACAAGCCACTTTTAATCTGTTAACCTTGCCCATGTTTTAAGCCACCAGATCTCCTAGGAGCTTTTTCTCCAAGCATTCTTGTGACTGAGTAAGCATTGGAGGAGAGGGTTTGTATTTAGGAGCTCTTAACACAGTGGTCTTTTGTTAGAGCACCTACTGCGGCTGGTTGTCACTGGAGTCCATAAGTGTCTGGTTCCTGCAACTCAGGTGCGTCCCAGTGAGTGTTAGCTACAGTCCAGCCAGGAGGGGGCACCCGGAGCATGGTGCGCCAGGGTTAGGGTTGGGATCAGCAGGTACCATTTTGATGAGAGCTTTCTTTGTGAAGTGCCGTCTCCTGCTCTTTTCTCCGCAGATCAGAGGTGATAGTTGGAGAAGTCTGGTGACGCCTGCTCCCAGCCATAAGCCTTTCCCGAGCGCGTGCTTCGCCGGAGGGCTGTCATCGTATGTAATTAGCAATCAAAGAGAGCCCTCCATTCAAGCCTCTTGCTTCTTAAGACTTAGAATGTAACATCCCGCGAGGGGGGTTGCTAGGCTGCAGATGGTAATAATTTGTCGTGCTGTGGCATGGCATGTCAGCCCTGCCAATGCTGAGACCTGACGTGGTCATGGGAGTCTTAGCCAGAGCAAATGTAGTGTAGAGGGAAAACCACTTGGAAACTTGCAGTTTCTGTTCCACGCGGCCAGGAAAGGAGAGAAACCTCACCATGGGCTCTGCAGGTTGATCTCTTCTGGTAGCACTGCTGCCAATATCTGAATCCTCTGAGAAAGGGTGCTCTGAGAGACTGTGGTAAATAGAGCTGTTTCTGCCTGTTTCCCCCTCGATGGGCACATCTAGGACCATTTATCATCAGTAGAGCTGACCAGGAGTCTCCCGGGAGGATACATCCCCTAAGGAGAGCAGTCACCCTGGCTGCAGAGACGACAGGATCCTCAGGAAAGGTTCCCAAAGGGCCAGTGTTTATTCAGAAACAAGAATGCTGGGGGCTCAGACTCCAAAGCGATTGTTGTTTAAATGTGCTCCCCACTGAGCACGCCAGACGGTCCAGGACACAGCCCGGAGCCTGCTGCTTCTGCCAGCAGCTGTCTTGTCCCTGCACCATTCTGCAGGCCTCTTCACCGACCAGCTGAGCTCTCTTAATCCGCCACACTGTGGATCATCCCTGCTCCTGAGTCCAGTGTAAATATTTGTCAATTAAATCACTCGGTGACCCAGACCCCCTTCAGATACCAGGCCATGCCCCGCCTGCAGATCAGTGGGTCCATTTCTGCCCCACAGTCAGGGTGTGAAGGCTTTCACATCAGCACTGACTCTGGCCACGGTTGTTCTTCTGTTGTGTGTTCTCAGCTCTACTCTTTCTGTTGGCTGCAGCGTTGCTAGGCGCAGGCGTGGTGATGACAGTCAGAGGTGATATAGTGGGATAGGCCTGCGTGATTGTGTACCCGCACAGGTAGGTTTGCCTCTCAGTATATTGTATATGTCACAGAGTGCCTTTTGAACACGGTTCTGTAACTTGCCTATCACTATGTGAAGTCCAGCAAATGAGAAATTGTTTTCATCCAGGGAACTGCATTACAAACATTTTTCTTCTTCTTTTTTTAAGTTCGGATTGTATTCTGTGTCTGGTGAGATTGTTAATGTACCCGACAGCCACAGGTTTTCCATTTGCCCTTGTTTCTGAAGGGTTCCACTGTAAATATGTACATTTTCTAACCGCAGCGTCAGCCGCCAGCGGCATGCCTACAAACGGCGTCTCCTGAGCGTTTTCATGTGCTGACTTGTACAATTATCTTTTAAAAGGTACTTGGATAATAATGAAATAAAAAACCCAACATCCAATTGGCTGCTGTTTTCCTTCCTTCTCTGGAGAGCCGAGGTATGCGAGGCTCAGCAAGATCTGCCCCAAGGGACGCAAACTGAAGTAGGTAGCTGGGATGGTGGCCGTGCTGGAAAGAGTCAATGAAGGTAGCAGCAAATGGACAGGACTCAGAGACCTGTGTGTGAAGTGCAAGCTATCTAATCCAGGAGGGCCCCATTTTGCAAGCTGCTTTTTTACCCCTCCTTGGTATGCAGCCATCTCTGCTGGAGTTCAGCCACAAAGAACAGCCCTTCACAGGCGCCGGGTCCAGGTGCATAGAATACCTTAGTCAGTTCAAATGGCGGAGGGAGTTTAAAGCAGGCAGAATTGGAATTCGGCCAAGACCCCAGGGTTGGCAGGCCTGCCATTTATGCAGAGTGTGAGGGACTATTTTTAGGAAAAGAAAATGAGCACAAAGTGTCACTGCAAATGGATTACAAAGCAAGTGCCAGTTGCTACCCTACCTGGGTTCCTATCGCCCTGATCTCCTTGTGCTCAGCAGTGCGCTCCATTCCCAGGAAGGCCCCTTCCTGACCTGCGAAGTTTATAATCCCCCACCCCCAGGGTGACAGGGTGGGTGCAGTCAGAGCACCGTCTCGGGGGGGTGAGGGAGGGCGGCTGGGGATTGCAGGTCACAGCGAGGAGGGAGCATTGTTGCTCCTGGGGCTGTGAAGTGAGCGTGAGTTTTAACGAGGGGGTTGAAAGGAGAGGCTGAGCCCTGCTGGGGTGGCGCGGTTGTTTGGCGTGCAGGGGAGAAGTGAGGCTGTTGGTGGGAGCAGAGCAAAGGGAAGGAATGGTGGGAAAGGACACCAGAGATGCAAGCCAGGCCGCATGTTGAAAGCAAAGACCAACTCGAAGCTGGGCCGGAGGGTGAGGAGGAGGCAATGACATGTCCAAGCTACGGGTAAGAGGCTTTTCACCGCTGTGGGCTGGAGGGAGGCGAGATGGGATCTGGGGCTGCAGTGGTCAAGGAGGGGAGAAGCATAGAGCCATTAGGACAGAGAGGGAGGGTGGACGCATAGCAGGATTAAACCTGTTATAGCAAACATGGTGCATGCAGGCAGCTCCCTAGGACACCCTTGTCCTGGGCTGCTGGGGAGATGGTCCATGCTAAGTGGAAAAAGCAGCAAATGGCAGGTACGAAGAAACCTTTGCAACTGAGTGTGACTGTTGCAGAGATGACTGCCTGAGTCTGAAGAGAGCCTGGAACAATCGCTTGGTGAGGTGTGACCAGCTCCACTCACCTCACTGCAATAGTAACTCGATTGCCTAGTGATGATTTAAACATTAACTGTTTCATTCCTTAACTAAGGAAGGGCCGTGGGGGAGAGGGGGCTACACAGGTCTGCATAACTCACCGAGAGCAGCATCTCAGATGATGCCACCACTTATCTCCTCCCCCCCGTCAAGGAGCTGAGCCCACAGCCACAACGAAGCCCCACCAAGGAGAGCCCAGTGGCACTCAGGGACCAAGTGCTCGTAGCAGGGGCAGCTGCACAATCTACGGTGAGTGGTGTCCTGGGTGGGTGGAGTTTATTTTGTGGGTGGCGCCTGGAAGAGAACAGACCCTTGGCCCCTCCCCCATCTGCCCCTGGGTGAGAGTAGCCATGGCTAGGCGGCCAAGCCAGCTGCAGCCCCCGGTGCTCATCCCCAGAGGCTCCTTTGCAGCAAACACCTGGGAGTGGCCTTGTTTATGAGATCTAGCCCACTGAAAGCCAAGGACTCCTGGCCCCAAGCCCTTGCCTTGGGCCGGCTACTCAACCAAAGCAAGGGATCCACACTGCAGTGTGTGCTGCCCAGGACCTGCCTGGGCGTGTGGGGAGCAGCTCCTCCTGCAGTCCTGACTCAGGATCTTGACTCGCCAGGGCTAGAAGAGGAACGGGCTGGGGCCTTGCCCCTCCCCAATCCCTAGGCTGATGTTACTCTGTTATGGGAGCTGGGGGGGTACATCCAGGCAAGCTGGGCCCCAGCGGCTCTGGGACACCCTCGCCCCAGTCCAGGGTCCCCCTGGTGGAATGTGCCTGGGTGGAATTCACCAGGCAGGAGCCTTGCGAGCACTTTTCTCCACTGGGAGCTGGAGATGCAGCTTCTCTGCAGAGGTGTCAGTAGGGCTCGGGCTGTTTCTGGACTGAGGCTGGGGTGACAAGACATTTCGGTCCTGAGATGCTGCACTCTGCCAGGCTTCCTGTGGGTAGGGGGACCAGCGCGTTTCCAGAGGGCTAGAGCTGCAAAGGGAGTTAGGCGCAGCATTGCAGCCCCTCCCCCCAGGGGCCCTGTCACCTAGGAGATTCACAGCGTGAGCTGGATGTCCAGGCTCCCTGTACCGTGCTCCGGGGGGGGAGAGAGGGGTCTAAGAATGGGAGTCACAGAAACCAGCAGGCGGCACAGGGAGCTGCCAAAGCTAGCCAGCGGGAAATGCTGAGGAGAGGGACCCCGGAGAGAGAGTCAGGTGCCTCTCCACTTGGATTCTCAGCCATGACCCTTCCTCGAGCTGGATGCCTGAGCCAGCTCAGCTGGTTTTCATGAAAAAGCAGAGGTAGACCCCACCACCCCTTCTGCCCAGTGGCCCAGTGGTTAGAGCACTTGACTAGGGTGCGGGAGACCTGGGTTTGAATTCCTGCTCTGCCTGTTTCAGAGCAAGGACTTGATGCCCGATCTCCCACATCACAGCTGACCCCTGGACTACTGGCCACTCAGTGGTGGATAGCTGTACACACATCCAGGTGCTTGCTGGGGGCGAGATGGGCAGGGGAACACTTAGTTTGGGAATCCTGCCAGGGCTCAGGTGTGAGCAAGGGCACCGGGCAGCTTGTTAGCCGAGGTCACTAGGTCTTCAGCAGCTGGATCTGACTCAGCAGCTGGCGTGGAGCGAGCACCTCTGCACAGAGGAGCCATGGCCCAAAGTTGGGTTGTCCAGCCTGCCCATGTAATGCCATGATTAGACTTAGGACACATGCTTAGCTAGAGCCCTCCTGAACCAGCAAAATCCTCACACGTCCTTAGCCAGTGACCAGTGCAGCCCAGCCTAGCATGAGAGCTGGCTAGTTCACAAGCTGAGGGCATGGCCCTCCATCCCATCCCTTTCCCTCCATCCCACTAAGATGACTCTTTAGCAAGCGTCATGCCTGGGACCATGCCTTGCAGACAAGCTCTGGGCTGAAGTCCTTGGGCACAGGCTATGCCAGGCTCTGCCCCCTTTGGGAAATGGTTAGGAAGGACGGGCATTAGGGCATTGGAGAGGGAACATTCCCAGTTTGTTCAGAGCACTGCAGACTGAGCTGCAGTATCCCTGGGCTTCCAGGTGTGAGCTGCTGGACCACACTGCCAGGAGGTTGCTAACTGGGGAGATGGGGACCCACCTACCCCTTCCAGGCGATAGTTGAGCCTGGAGCCTGGCTGGCACGCCGCCCAGTGCACAGAGCCCGGGTGTGTGCTTAGGAACTGGACAGCTGGGATGGAGTCAGCTGCTTTGCTCCCTGAGCTGGTCACTGAATAGGCTACATCTAGCCGGTCTGGAGTGGGACGCGTGGCTCTGCGGGTGAAAGCTGCAGCACTTAGGGCCTCTCGTGAACCATGATTTAAGCTGGTGCTTGTCACAGAGACTGAAGCCAGTGGCCTGCCTGATTGGTTGGCTCCATCCCTGCTGTCTGCAGGGATTCATGCTCCTTCGCAGGGACACTTCCACCTGAACTCCTGCTGGCTTTAGAGCATCTGCTGAAGCAAAGGCTGCTCCTCTCTGAGGGACTGTAATCCCTAAGAGGGCTTGGGGTGGCGGGAGAGACCTCAGCAGCCCAGAAAGGGTTGAGTCATGGAGCAGGCTGGCACAAGGGGAACGAGCAATGAGGGCACCCCGCACAGGTGAGAGATTCCTCTTATTGCTGGCAGAACAGGAGGCCTCCTTGTAACCCTCCTCCCCCCTGCAAGCTGCCCCACCAAGAAGCACTAGCCACAGCTGAACTGCCTGGTCCTGCCGGCCTACCTGTGTTTCTGGAAATGGAGCCCCATCTAGTGCCCAGAGCGGCAAGTGCCTTTCTGCATTGGAAATCTGATCTCTCCCCGAGGCCCCAGACTCCTCCACAGGGAGCCTGGTCACTGCAAGGGCTTCTGGTGCCCATGTTGATTTGGGGGATAAGATGGAAGGAGTTTCAGTCCCGTGTTGGGCTCTTAGGCTCAGCTATAAATACAGAAAACTCAGTAATAATGGGGGATTTCACCTATCCCCATACTGAGGTGTCACCTCAGGCCGGGATTCAGAGACACCATTAATGACTGCTTCTTGGTGCAGCTAGTCCTGGCACCCACCAGGGGAGAGGCAGTTCTTGTTTTAGTCCTATGTGGGGCACAGGAACTGGTCCAAGAGGTGCATATAGCTGAACCGCTCAGTAATAGTGATGATAATGTAATTGAATTTAACGTCCTTCTGCGGGCCATATACCAAAGAAACCCACCACAATAGCATTTACTTTCAAGAAGGGGAACTACACACAAATGAGGAGGCTAGTTAAATGGAAATTAAAAGGAACAGTCACAAGAGTGAAATGTCTGCAAGCTGCATGGAAACTTTTTAAACACCACAATAGAGGCTCAAGTTAAATGTATACCCCAAATTAAAAAGAATAATAAGAGGACCAAAAAATGCCACTATGCCTAAACAACAGAGTAGATGAGGCAATTACAGGCAAAAAAGCATCATTTAAAAATTGGAAGGCAAATCCTACTAAGGAAAACAGAAAGGAGCATAAACTCTGGCAAATCAAGTATAATTAGACAGGCCAAAAAAGAATATGAAGAGCAACTAGCAAAAGACACAAAAACTAATAGCAACAAAATTCTTTAAGTATATCAGAAGCAGGAAGGCTGCCAAACAATCAGTTGGGCCAATGGACCATCAAGGTGCTAAAGGAGCACTCAGGGAAGACAAAGCCGTTGCGGGAGAAACTAAATGAATTCTTTGCATCAGTCTTTACTACAGAGTCTGTGA